ATGTATCGTGAGATTTTGAGTGAAAACCTCCTTCCATCAGCAAGGGCATTGAAGATTAAACGTGGCTGGGTCTTTCAGCATGACAATGATCCCAAACACACCGCCCGGGCAACGAAGGAGTGGCTTCGTAAGAAGCATTTCAAGGTTCTGGAGTGGCCTAGCCAGTCTCCAGATCTCAACCCCATAGAAAATCTTTGGAGGGAGTTGAAAGTCCGTGTTGCCCAGTGACAGCCCCAAAACTTCACTGCTCTAGAGGAGATCTGCATGGAGGAATGGGCCAAAATACCAGCAACAGTGTGTGAAAACCTTGTGAAGACTTACAGAAAACGTTTGACCTGTGTCATTGCCAACAAAGGGTATATTACTCCTGAGTGGCGCAGTGGTCTAAGGCACTGCATAGCAGTGCTAACTGTGCCACTAGAGATCCTGGTTCGAATCCAGGCTCTGTCGCAGCCGGCCGCGACCGGGAGACTCATGGGCGGCGCACAATTGGCCCAGCGTCGTCCAGGGTAGGGGAGGGAATGGCCGGCAGGGATGTAGCTCAGTTGATAGAGCATGGCGTTTGCAACGCCAGGGTTGTGGGTTCGATTCCCACGGGGGGCCAGTATAAAAAAATATGTATTCACGAACTGTAAGTCGCTCTGGATAAGAGCGTCTGCTAAATGACTAAAATGTAAATGTAAAATGTAATAACAAAGTATTGAGAAACTTTTGTTATTGACCAAATACTTATTTTCCACCATAATTTGCAAATAAATTCCATAAAAATCCTACAATGTGATTTTCTGGATTGTTTTTTCTCATTTTGTCTGTCATAGTTGACGTGTAACTATGATGAAAATTACAGGCCTCTCTCATATTTTTAAGTGGGAGAACTTGCACAATTGGTGGCTGACTAAATACTTTTTTTCCCCACTGTATGTATTTGGACAGTGATGCTAACATTTTTAATGTGGCTCTATACTCCAGCATTTTGGATTTGAGATCAAATGTTTCAAATGAGGTGACAATACAGAATGTCACCTTTTATTTGAGGGTATTTTCATACATATCTGATTTACCGTTTAGAAATGAAAGCACTTTATATACACTATCCAGTCCCCCCATTTGAAGATGTCGTAAGTATTTGGACACATTTCACGTATAGTGTACCAAAGTAGTCAAAAGTTTACTATTTGGTCCCATATTCCCACTACGTCAAGCTTGTGACTCTACAAACTCGTTGGATGAATGATGACCGGAGTAAATAAGACACAGTATTTCGGGAACACTTCTAAATCAATCCTGATAATGCCATGAATGAATCATGAATAATGATGAGTGGAAAGTTACAGAGGGTACAACAAAGCATACTAACCTCTCACCATTACCAGTAATGGTGGAGATTAACATTTTCTGGGGGGTATGATCTTTGTCCCTCTAACTTTCTCACTCAAAAATGACAATACATTATTCACCATTCACTTCCTTTTGGACAAAACATAATCTGAAACACAATCAAAACAAGCTGTAAATGCATCCAACAAGTTTGTAGAGTCACAAGCTTGATGTAGTCACTGTGTGCAAGAAATATGGGAGAAAATACTAAACTTTTGACTACTTTAATACACTTTTCGGTGAAATTTGTCCAAATCCTAATGACATATTCAAATGGAGGGACTAGATATATAAAGGGCTTTCATTTCTAAACAGTAAATCAGATATGTATGAAAATACCCTCAAGTAAAAGGTGACATTATGTACTGTGACCTCATATAAAACATTTGTATCTCAAATCCAAAATGCTGGAGTATAGAGCCAAATTTGACAATTTAGCATCACTGTCCAAATACATATGTAGGGAAGTGTAGATAACAGGCTCTGAATGGCTTGTCAACAACTTCTGTAAATGATACAGTTGAAGTCGGAAGTTTACATACAGTTAGGTTGGAGTCATTAAAACTCGTTTTTCAACCACTCCACAAATGTCTTGTTAACAAACTATAGTTTTGGCAAGTCGGTTAGGACATCTACTTTGTGCATGACACAAGTAATTTTTCCAACAATTGTTTACAGACAGATTATTTCACTTATAATTCACTGTATCACAATTCCAGTGGGTTATACGTTTACTAAGTTGACTGTGCCTTTAAACAGCTTGGAAAATTCCAGAAAATGATGTCATGGCTGTAGAAGCTTCTGATAGGCTAATTGACATCATTTGAGTCAATTGGAGGTGTACCTGTGGATGTATTTCAAGGCCTACCTTCAAACTCAGTGCCTCTTTGCTTGACTTCATGGGAAAATCAAAAGAAATCTGCCAAGACCTCAGAAAAGAAATTGTAGACCTCCACAAGTCTGGTTCATCCTTGGGAGCAATTTCCAAACGCCTGAAGGTACCACGTTCATCTGTACAAACAATAGTACGCAAGTATAAACACCATGGGACCACGCAGCCGTCATACCGCTCAGGAAGGAGTCTCCTAGAGATGAACATACTTTGGTGCGAAAAGTGCAAATCAATCCCAGAACAACAGCAAAGGACCTTGTGAAGATGCTGGAGGAAACAGGTACAAAAGTATCTATATCCACAGTAAAACGAGTCCTATATCGACATAACCTGAAAGGCCGCTCAGCAAGGGTCTTCTTCCTCCAAGGGTCTACTGCTCCAAAACCGCCATAAAAAAGCCAAACTATGGTTTGCAACTGCACTTGGGGACAAAGATCATACTTTTTGGAGAAATGTCCTCTGGTGTGATGAAACAAAAATAGAACTGTTTGGCCATAATGACCATCGTTATGTTTGGAGGAAAAAGGGGGTACTTTGCAAGCCGAAGAACACCATTTCAACCGTGAAGCATGGGGGTGGCAGCATCATGCTGTGGGGGTGCTTTGCTGCAGGAAGGACTGGTGCACTTCACAAAATAGATGGCATCATGAGGAAGGAAAATTATGTAGATATATTGAAGCAACATCTCAAGACATCAGTCAGGAAGTTAAAGCTTGGTCGCAAATGGGTCTTCCAAATGGACAATGACCCCAAGCATACTTCCAAAGTTGTGACAAAATGGCTTAAGGACAACAAAGTCAAGGTATTGGAGTGGCCATCACAAAGCCCTGACCTTAATCCTGTAGAAAATGTGTGGGCAGAACTGAAAAAGCGTGTGCAAGCAAGGAGGCCTACAAACCTGACTCAGTTACACCAGCTCTGTCAGGAGGAATGCAGGTGTATGTAAACTTCCGACTTCAACTGTATATGTACAATTTACAGTTAGTAAACATGTTCTGTTTACACTAGTCAACTGTTGGTACATCAGCTGGCAACCAACACTTGTCACTGATGTGTCACAGTATAAAAAGCCTCTTACCATTCTCTTTCTTCAATTGTTTTTAAGGACAAATCAAATTCTTATGCACACATAGTGAGCTCCAAAAGTATTGGAACAGTGACACATTATTTTTGTTATGGATCTGTATTCCAGCACTTTGGATTTGAAATGATTCAAATTGACTACCATTACATGTCAGATAGTCAGATTAATATAATAGTTCGATTAAAACGTTTACATGCTTTCCAAGAGGAACGATTTCCCTAATAATCCTGTTTACATGGAGACATCTGAAACCAGGCTACCTGATGGCTCTCTGATAAATGCAGAAAATCAAAATTACAATCAAAATAAATGTTCTACCACAGGGAACATTTTATTTTTGGGAAGCATATTTGATTCTGAGTTTGGACATATAAAGTTTGTATGTGAAAACTACAACATTTTCAGTTGTTCCGAACTCACTTCCCTCGATCAAATACACCGCTGGAATGCCGATTAACGTGTTTACATGTCCTAATAATTCGAAGGATTGCTAAAAAAAACAGGTGTTTTAATCGGTGTATGATTACTTCTATTTTGACGCCGATTAAGATAAACATAGTAAGGTGTTTACATGACTACTGCATAATCTGCCTACTGCCATAATCAGTTTAATATTGAATTATTACTGTGCATGTAAACATGTGATTAAAGTACAGACTGTCATTTCCATCCATATCGGGTGAACAGTTTAGAAATGACATTACTTTTTGTACATAGTCCCCCATTGTAGGGGACCAAAAGTATTGGGACAAATTCACCTATATGTGTATTAATTAAGAATATAATATGTTTCTAAACACTTCTATATTAATGTGGATGCTATCATGATTACGGATCATCCTGAATGAATCGTGAATAATGATGAGTGAGAAAGTGACAGATGCACAAATATCATACCTCCAAGACATGCTAACCTCTCACCATTACAATAACAGGGAAGGCTAGCATCTTTCTCACTCATCATTATTCACCATTCATTCAGGACTATCCATAATCATGGTAGCTCATTCTTTTGGTTCCCTAAAATGCGGGGACTATGTACAGAAAGTGCTGTAATTTCTAAATGGTTCACCCGATATGGATGGAAATACCCTCAAAATAAAGCTGACAGTCTGCACTTTAACCTCATAGTCATTGTATCATCCTAAGTGGTGGAGTACAGAGCCAAAACAACAAAATATGTGTCACTGTCCCAATACTTTTGGAGCTCACTGTATACCTCTATTATTTTTCTTCAGCTTCTCCACCTGGGTCTCACTGTCTGTCATTCTGGGCCCCATGGCTGACAGTTCTGCTGCTTGAACTGGAATTATGCAAAGAATAAATACATTCAGGTGATGGTGTTCATATCACTGAACAAAACTATCTCTCAAATATTTTCACATCAACACGTTACCTGTATTCTTTCTCTTCAGCTCCTCCACCTGGCTCTCACTGGCTGTCACTTTGGCCCCCATGGCTGACAGTTCCGCTGCTTGGGCTGGAATTATGCAAACAGAACATTAATTCAGTCACTCAGTCTGGCCTTCAAGGCTGAAACATTCTGACATTTCTGAATAAAGACAAGTAAACCTACAGTGATCATTCTGTAACAAGCAATACTGTAGGATGGCGTATGGCTCCCTTCATAACTTGCATCAACATTCACTGGCGGTCATTCTCGCCTGCAAGATCCTACAAACGTTAAACGTGTATATCCTTATTATGACGAATGAAGCTATAACTCTTTAGGCTACCTTGAGGAACCAGACCAGTGGAGTATGGTATTAATGTCTAATGTGAATAGACGATATGCAGTATGTGATATTCACATGCACCTTCATTGTCTCTCCTCAGTTCATCGTCTTCCTTCATATACCTCAGCCCCACTCTCTGTTCCACCACCATGTCTCTCAGCTCAGCCCAGATCTCAGAGTTGGTGGCCGTCTGGTTGGCTGCCTGTGCGTGGGTCGTCTCTACAGCTTCAGTGCTTGGGCTCCTGATATCAATTTCAATCCCCTCTCTCTCCCTGAGCCCATGCCCCAAACAGACAGAATAGCAACACCAGCAGAGCTGCAGCACCCCTCATTTTGAAACGACACCTCTTTAGAACTAATGTAGTCTAATCTGGGCTCCTCAATACCCCCTTCTTATAGAGACTGGACTTGGTGAACCAATACATGGAAACTGAACACTTGCCTACAGTGGACATTCTTTGAATATAGCCAAGGTGTAACATAACACAGGGAAAGATTACTATATGCCAAGTCCTTTAAATTTGGTGCCGTGGGAGCATCACAGCTGTTACGCAGTTCAAGGGCTCTCCTTATGTTCATTTTATTTTCCAAATCCTAATACATGGCTGTATTAAGATACACTTCTTGCAACTGTATCTTCAACATCACAGGCGGCCGGTGGCACCTTAATTGGGGAGGACGGGCTCATAGTAATGGCTGGAATGGAATAACTGGAATGGTATTGAACACATCAAACACCTTTTCCATGTGTTTAATATCATTCCATTCACACCATTATTATGAGCTGTCCTCCCCTCAACATGTTACTGTTAATATCTACACATGCTCTGGCAAGGGGTGTTGCTTTATTCAAAGCCTTTGGGAAATCATGTTGCGTGTCATTCAATGAAGGAAACATTTTAAAGAGCATTAGTTTATTTCTTATTTTCCACAGGTTACCTCAGAAACAGTATAATTATATACAAAATCTGGAATGTTGAATAAATGCATATCAATCATCTTACTGTAGCCGTTTCCAGAGAAACCTTTGAAATAGCTACACATTAAAACGGGTTGCGTCTGCATTGCAATTTATTGCTGGTTTTACAAACTCAGAGTGACTAATGCCATGATTAATTAATTTCTTAACTTTTTAAAAGTATTTACATTTTGATTAGTAATGTCTAAAAGGTAACTGGAAAATGTGCTAAATAAATAAAAACAAGGTGGGAACGTGAAGAGACCAGTTGTTCTTGGATATGGAAAACAGGTGAGCCCCTAGGTTTTAGTCCCAGATTGTCTACACCGTCTACTGGACAGTTATTTTCCTTATTTTTTTTGCCATGAATATTTTAAAAAATATGACCTTAACAATCATCAGATTGTTCTTATTCCCAGATAAAAAAGTAAAAGAACAGTGCCCACAACAAAACAGCACAAAAAACAATTACAATGTTTCTTAAAACATGATGTACTAACAGTAATCTTGAGAAGTCTTAAAAAGTCAATATGTTACTGCTTTAGGCTAACATTGACCAATGACAAAAATATCTGCAGTTATTATGAGCGTGCCACTGGGGCTGCAGTTGATTTAAAAAACTAGGACAGTTTCAGTTGGAAGCAATGTTCACTTGGAATTCAAAATGGAAAAGAGGAGAGCAAACATCATTGAAACAGTGTTTTCCATTCGAGTCACAAGTTGACAGTACCGTGAGCATAATCTTTAGCTGTATGCATGAAGTAATATTGAATTACATACAGGTACAGTAGATTACATACCATTTTACATTTGTAATATACAATATATGCCATTTAGCAGACACTTTTATTCAAAGCGACTTACAGTCATGCATGCATACAGTTTACATATGGGTGGTCCCGGGAATCGAACCCACAACCCTTGCGGTGCAAGCACCAAGCTCTGCCAACTGAGCCATACAGGACTATACATTTATACATTTGTTAAGTATTGGGATGACATAAATGACAACTTCATTAACTGTGTGGAATTTTTTTTAAAAACTTTATATATGCTCAGTCACAATTCAGTGTTTGCATTACAATGAATTTATAAACTATTTTCATTTGGGCCATAACTTGTAGATCTCTTTGAATTGGATAATTTTTGTTTCTGTAGGAAATACATCCACCTTTTCATGGATTAAATCACAAAATAGACAATTCATTGGGTGATTTCATGCAAACACATACATCTATACACTTTTGGACATAGCATAGTAGCTTTTAAAAGCATTTTTATAATTTGACACGATTCAATTAAACATTACAAATGACAGGTTTTTTTTGCCTTTGCAGCTCTGAGTTCCTTTTACACTGGTGTAAAAGTTAATCATGTTTGCATAACATATACACGTAACAAGCTTGGGAAAACCTGAAACTCATTTGTAAGGGCAGAGTGCCACAAGATCATTCACTATTATACAATGCAGACTAAAATGTTTGTTTCTTTGCTAAAAAGATGTTTTTAACGAAAAAATTATTCACAAAATAAATCCTGTGTAATAATCAGCGATTACTAAAAGGGTTTGTTGTTTTATTTTTTATTATAGGTTATAAAAAATGCAATCGGATGTCTTTCTGAATGAAAACAAATCTTCAGACTATTGCTATTAAACCATTATGACAAGTCATGCGGCGTTTACTCAAGAGGAGAGCGTTTAGTTTGTTGTGAATATTGCTTGATGCTCAGGGTAGTCACTCCCTCCCTCCCCTTGTTCTAACAGTTCAAGGTCTATGGCACTTGACAGCTCCCCCCCAGTTCATTTGATCCAGCGTAGAGCAAAGAGTCCATGTATGAAACACAAAAAGAGATTGAAAAGCATGTCTAAAAAGATGTTATTTTATACAAAGGCAAAATGTGGTTGTTTTCCGCCACTTAAAAAAATTGTTAGACAGAAACCCCTTTTCAATCTGAAAGCGTGTGTGTCAGTGTTTTCTAGTCACCAATGGCTGCCTTCAGGGAGAAGCCCTTTAGAATCTTACCAAGATGAGTGAAAGGGGCCCAGAGACCTATACCTGCTCAGTCTGACACAGGCTGCATCTGAGATGACACCCTATATCCTTTGTATACAGTTCCCCACTAGTATGTAGCGTGCTCTATGGGGAATAGGGTGTCACTCCCACCAGCACCTCCAACACATGGGGTGTAATCATTAGTCCAAACAGTTGCAAAACTGAACTTTTTGCAATTAAAAACAACAGTTTCCATTGGACACTTTCAGCTAGGTCCCTCCCCGTTTTGTTCCGTTTAAGAAATGTTTTGCAACAAAATCAGCGTAATGAATACACCCCTGGCCATGGTCTGCACACATGCTTAGCTTACCTAACTTTACCACTCCGCCTCCTGACCCACTCTCACATCACATCCTGGCTAGGCTAATTAAGGCCAAGCAAAGGCATTCCTCTCTCATGATCCGTTCCATATCCCAGTCCCAATTCCATTTCACATACAAAGAGCGTTTTACAGCATCCAAGTAGTAAGTAGTCGGCACCCGGGGCGGTTGATTCAGTGATGAGTGAGTGTCCACGTCCGTACGAAAGGATTTGTTCAGGAGTTGAGAGGTGAGTGACCGCACAGGCAGTGGTCTATTCAAGTGAGGGATATTCCAAGCCAGTGGTGCCATGGAGGCTACTGAAACTGCTCCTATGCTAAAATGAGGACAGTATAGATACTGGATGTATGCAGTATGGCTCACAGGTTTTATAGAGGCAGAGGCAAATAAATTGTTCTTCTGAAATATCCACCATGTACAGCACCCGTTCCAAAAACTGTCACAATTGTAAGTAGGCAGGGGGGAAATTCAAGAAAATAAACTCTGCCCGAAAGCGCAATCCAGTACTACATTCGTCTCCACAAGAAAGCAAATAACATTGTCCCCCATATCACATCTCAGCTAGATCAAATAAGTGGTTTCAGCATCTTCTTAAAACAAAAGAAACATTACTTAAAAATAAAGGCAAATCAGATGTAAGCAGAGAGAGAGAAAGAGAGAGAGGTAGCCCTGTCCTCTAGTGGTCAACTACAGTTAATGCTCAACTACAGCAACTAGAAACTCTGCAATGATGAAGGTGAATTATTTTCTTTGAAAAACAAAAGTCTTTACAGAAAGCAGTCTTTACTAAATCTCTGTGTCATTGGAGCACACACCGTCTCTGCTGCGTACTCTGAGTAAAAAATTACCGGGCTATCCCACAGTGACGGCTTCTTTAAGACAACATCCCCCCAGTCCACTTGATGCAGTGGTTCGGCCCCTGTTATCCCAAAAGCTCTTAAAGGTTCTCTTCACCATAAAGCAGTTTTACCAGGCTCCTCTGTGTATAAAAATAAGAAGGAAGTGGACATTCAGTTCTCGTGTGGTTTCGTCTGGATCGGAGGTCACAGTCCTGTCTGTCTCTCTCTACGCTGTCACCTCTCGGACGATGATCATATCCACAGTGGTGGGAAACGTCTTCAGCAGGGCTACAGCGTTCCCGTGGTCAATGTTCACAAAGCTGTATCCGTTCGCCTGTGTGGAAAAGAAGGAGTAAGGGCTTTATAAATACATTTCATTGATTGAATTAGGGATTTGTGGATATTTAGCTAAACACCAAGATAGCAACTTTGGCTTTTATGTTTTATTTTATGTTTATTATTATTATCGCTATTTTAACACTTTATTGAGACAGTACTGAAATCTGAGGGGAAGACAAGTGGGAGAAACAACTTAGAAAGGTGGAGATGGGGATTGAACCCTAGACACTGTTGGGGCTACACATACGTGCATAGAGTTGGAGTCACAGAGGGTGTTACCGTTAGACCCGGCTCTGCACTACAGATGTTTGTAATGTGTTCATAGTAGGTAAACATGTGTTCAGCAAATAACCTTTACTGTATAGCTTTATGCTAGATGGGATATAGAGGTAATGGTATTGAGTTTACCTGGAGGATCTTGTCTCCAGGCTGGAGGATCTTTGAGACAGGTCCCTCAGGCTGGACCCTCGTCACGAAGATGCCCTGAGAGAGAAGAGAGAGCACCACACCCATCTGGTCAACAACACTCATTGCACCATTTTATTGATTGATACTGTTCCAAAATCAGTAAAAATGCATCAACAAGCTAAATTGCTAGCACAGTTAACAATTCTATTCTGACTGATAACACTCATGGATCATATTTGAATAAAAATGCTATGTTAAACTTAGAGGCCTCAACTGTGTAAGTGCTTACAATCAATTTCACATGCACTAGGCTGCAAAAATAGACAGCACTACATTGTTATGGGAAAAAGAGGGCTGATGAGTGTAAATACATTATCGTCCGGACGAAAGGGGTTTCCCCGTCCTCCCACTCCTCCTGATATACTGAACCCTAACTCAGGGTTCTTCTCCACTTTCACACGGATCTGAAATAGACACACACACATTACTCACCTGACGGGGACTTTAATGTAAACTGTACATTTGAATGAGTCACACACATCACAGAGAAAGATATTGGATAAGACTCTGGAGGATTCATTCTATCCAGGTAGTTCAGGGGTGGTGGGGGGTTATAAGCTGACATAGAATTGTTTTAAGATGGTAATTTAGCTATTTGATTTAGAATTGTAGGACCCCTTTACGTATTTATTTTTTTTGTGCTAAAATATTGAATTTGGCCTTCACTACCAAATCCCATAGAAAAGCATTGAATAACACATTCATCAATGGCAAAAAAGACAGTGAAAAAATGTATCATACGGAATAAAGTTTTGAAGTGTCTGTCCTATATCTAGGAGATTTAAGAAAGCTCAGGAAATATAAAGTTTAAAAAAAAAAAAATACACATATTTAACCCCTTTTTTTGGGTAGGCCCAAAACTACTGTACCTCCATACTTCCATTGCGTTTTTAACAGGTACCGGTTACCTTCAGACGAGACTGTGACACTTGTGGGGGTCGAAGAGCAAAATGGACCACCATCGTGTTCGCGAGAGTCTCATCTTTCCATAGAGTGGTCATAATAGTTTGAAGACCAAATTTCGTGAGAAGACCGACAAACACTGCTGCAGATGCGGAAGGCCGCCATAGGCGGATGTGGTGGATTGAGATGCAGCCAATACAAAAAAAAAAACATATCTCTAGCTGAAACTGACAGACTTTGATGGGGATTTTTTTTACTATGTTACTTAGATTGACGGACCGGTGCGTCAATAGACTCTAGTTAATCAACATTTTGATGATGAATGAGGTTTTTAGTTGTAGGCTGACACCCTATAACTCTCCAGGGCTAGGGATGGGGGAGCATTGTTTTACTGTAACTCTTCCGTCTCTCCATCCATCCCGCCATCCTACCTCCTGCTGCAGTGTGTCGTGGGCAGCCCGTGGTGGAGGGGGTCCCTGGGACGGCTGGCCATGCGAGACCTTAAGCATCAGGTAGTCGATGAGCTGCTCTCTGGAGGGGTGGCGGGCCATGGGTGCCTGGCACGACGTCACCTGGCCTCGCATCGGACCGCCCATCTGACCATTCATCAAAGGCACCTGGGCAACACACAGACAGACATAAACAAAAACAAACAGACAGACACCCAGAAACAAAGAGACAGACATTGTTATAGAGTTGACATTCAAACAACAAAATTGATTGTCAGTGCATATCTAAAATACTCATCCATTAATAAGCTTTCAGCTTCAGCATGGTTTGGGAATACACTGCAGGAGGTTTATACAGTACTACAATCCCTACTTTCCCACCACCTTGGTTACCATAACCCTCTAAAACTAAAGAAAACAAATAATAGGATATAATCCAACAAGAGAAAAGCCCTCACAGGTCCAATTTGGCCAATTGATAAGTTAAACTTCAGGCCTGGCATACAGAATAACATGATGTAACAGAGTAATGTGTGATTTCAGCAGAAGCTGCTGATTTACCACCAGTGAGGTGCTCGGTCTTAGTGACACTGGCTGTGTCCAGCAGCAGGCTTTCCACCGCCCTCAAAGCCATGGAATTCATTTGGCTCCGACTAGTGTGGAGGATGAAGTGTAGAGAACATTTCATTCAGTTTTATTAGATGGTGGTGGTACTGGGGTTATTGGCAGGATCCATTAATGGAGGGAGGGTAGGGGGGTGGGGACGCTGGGCCGGCAGTGGTTTGGGCTTTCTCCACGATGGGAGTAAAATCTGAAATTACACCCTATTCCCTACATACTATGGAATAGGCTAGGATAGACTAGGGCTCTGGTCAAAGTAAGTGCACTATATAAGCAGTGTTATTCAAGAGTAATTCTTAATGCCAGGTGTGAAGGACCATGACAGAGTCCATTTCATCCTGGTAAACCTTGAGGTAGAATCACAAAATGTCGACAAATTCCCCACATTTAGCCAGAACTTGGAACTGGAACATGTCTAAATGACAACATTAGTTAATTAATTCTCTATCTATAACCCCAGTTCAAATACCTATTAGACAGTTTTCTATCCACATGAGTCTACCTACGTGAGATCCCATACATTTTTTTCCTCCAAATGTACATCCAGGCAGATAGACAGTAAGTCTATAAAGAACAGAGTAGATTGAACTAAAACAAAGAGACCATTGAGTCAGTGCATTCAAAGGAGACATTTACATAAAATAGCTTATTTAACGTCTGATAAGGACTTGAAGTCTGCGTAATAAAAGGGCTCTCTATGAGCCAGGCTGTGGTTCTCTGTATGACACCTCTTGAAACAGACCATTTAAAAATCTCCCAGACAGAAGACTGACCTCATTCTGCAGCTCTGTCTGAGCCGGTTACTGAAAAGAGACAGTAGCAGTACAACCGGACAACCTGCAGGGGGCAGGAGGAACTGCTTCCCCCCCGGAGTGGCTACGGATAAGGAGTTCTGTATCCCAATTTGGCCAGGCTAAAAATACGTATATTTCTGCGCTAGTGCAGGATTTTTGTGTTCGGCTGCAGCTACCCCCTAATTTATCGCCTTTGTCTGGTGTAGCCTACAAAATTCATGTTGTACACAAAACTGTTCGAACTATTGCATTCCATGCTTCAGTAAGCATAAGTGCTATTTCATGTTCTTTTTCCAGGAGGGGAGTAGGCTATAGCTATTTACATGTTTTACACAAAATACATGATCAACATGTTCGTATAAACTTTGTTGTCAGTATTGCAAACATAAGAACGACACAAACAGGTAGTACAGCGATTTCATGTTATTCTTAGCTGCTGAGTTACATGCAGCTATTTACTCTCGCCACGATATAGCAGCATATATGGCATAACTATGGCACCGGGCGATGCAAAACTAACTCGCCCATTGTCAGACTCTTTTTACCGGTCAGGATACCCGCCCGGCTGCCTAGAACGTTCTGCTGCCAGATGTGGAATGCAGCAAGACACAAACAAGCAGTCTAATTAGCGATTGAATTAATTGAACATTGGCTGTGTTCAATTCATTCAATTGCGCAGGAGGCAGACAGGCAAGTAGTTATTTTTTCAGTAACTACGATATGGCAGAAAGAAACTATAAAGATTAACTTACATTCTAGTAATTTAGCAGACGGTGTTATCCAGAGCAATTTACAGTAGTGAGTGCATACATTTACGTACTGGGAAACGAACCCACGCCATGCTCTACCAACTGAGCCACACGAGAGCATACATCATAACACAAAACACTGATTGTTTTTGTTCCAAAGTGTAGGGACCGCAATATCCGTTACAACAGACAGAGAAGGTTGTAGCCTTCATAATATACTGTATATGTTTTGGATTGTTTGGTCAAATCGCCACAGGGTTTTTATTTCAGCTCTTAAGAAATATGAGGCAGACATATATATGCTACATAACGAATGTGTGCGTAAAATAACACATGCACAGAACGTGATCCGGATCCTTAGCTTTGAGAAAGAGGTTTCTCTATGGGCCCGTGGGAGGTGGGCATGGACATAAACTCCGTATTCGTAGCCACAGCCTTTCACCCCCTCTACATTAATCACAGATTGAATTCTATCTCAGTGTAAATGGAACTCTCTCTGACTATAAATTGAATTCTATCTCAGTGTAAATAGAATTGCGAAAAATGTGCCTCTGTTCAAATAATTATTTCACAGGTCATGGAAAGCGGGAGATTTCTGGGTATCAAATATTTCCAATGAGGGTCTTCACATTCAGTCCTTGACTGAGAAGTTTTCATATAGAAACACTGTACATACGGTAGAATACTCTTACTTTTAGTAACTTATTCTGCCTACATACTTGCTTTATAAATCCAAATTCCTCGAAACGTCCATGGACACTACACCATACCGTATATCTAGCCTAGTGATGAAGGTCAAGAGTCCACTGGGCTGAGGAGCGCTCTAAACTTCCACCACTGTATTCCACCCAGTTTAGTTCTTAATTCCAGTATAACTAAGCAACGCTCCTCCAACCCTCTCTGTGAGACACCAGGTCCTGGTGGAGGCAGAGATCCCCCATGAGAATAGATAGGCCTGAACGGTAATCTCTTTCAAGGCAGATCTCGTTAATTAGAACTCATTAATCACTGGTGGGGAGGAGGATGGTGCTGCTACGCTACTCCTGCTGTTGTTGGGTCAATATCTAAATCCTCAGCCAGCCAGCTCTCTACTCAGGCTGCTTGGACTGGGCTAGCCCACGCTCTACTTACAGTGGAGGGATAAAGATATGGGTCAGGAATACATGTGCTGAAATGGGACAGACAGGCAGGCACTTTATGGTGGGGCTGTATGATGGATTTGTAGAATTATTTCACTTGAAGAATACACTGTCAAAAACCGTTCTGTTAACAAACTCTTCAATATCGTGTAGGCCAGGACTGCCCAACCCTGTTCCTGGAGAGCTACCATCCTGTAGGTTTTTTCTCCAACCCTAATTTAGCACACCTGATTCTAATAATTAGCAGGTTGATAAGATGAATCAGGTTAGTAACACCTGGGGTTGGAGCGAAAACCTACAGGAGGGTAGCTCTCCAGGAACAGGGTTGGGCAGCTCTCCAGGAACAGGGTTGGGCAACCCTGGTGTAGGCCTATAACTATTCCCTGGTCTTTATGGTCTGCATTCCTAATATCATATAGTAGGAAATGAAACACCAATTTGAGATTGGTTTATGGGTATCCTATCCTCTACATATGGCTCTAGTGTGCACTTACTTTTCGGAGGGTGTCCATGGTGTAGCCCTGTTGTCCTTGAGGACCAAACACATCATCCTGTAGAGGGAACGATGACAGATTAGTAACAAAGACCATGTCCTGACCGCTCTCTGTCAGTGACAAACACACCTCTACGTATTTAGGCAAGTCACTGACACCTAAATGGTAATGGTGAGGTAAATCCTACCTCTTCAAACAGTATCTTAAATAATCCTCCTCCTCACCTTGCCCCCTCAAAAATAAATAAATAAATAAATTACACTTAATCAGCACTTGCACTTGACCCCCCCCCCCCCCAGCTCTGACTCTACTGACAGCTACGTTATTGAGGAAAAATGTACTTTCTATGCCTGTGATATGTGGTTGTCCCACCTAGCTATCTTTAAGATGAATGCACTAACTAAGTCGCTCTGGATAAGAGCGTCTGCAAAATGACTAAAATGTATATGTAATGTAATTCTTCATGTCTTAGGAGAATTAGTTGACCATGATCTGATCGGGGCTAATAATGTTTGTTACATGTTCGGCTAAGATTTTTTGTTATATGCTGTGTTAACCATTCATTCTGAAATGTCTAAGTAATTCCAACACCTATGAAAATCATATCTAAAGGATAACATTCTTAACAATGAGGATGATTTTTCCCTACATAGGGACTACAGAGCCAAAAGCAGTGTCCTATATAAATAATACATAGGAAAGGAAAGAATGATTCATCATTTTATAAGACACATACACCACACTAACACCAGGTGCAAATGAGTGAGTTTGCAGCCATTTTCCACACTAAGACTCAATCTAACACAACAACTACTTGTTCTTTCAACTACATCCCCCATACTTACATTGGACAAACTCAGTGCTCATCTCCACACAAAGAAGTGAAAGGGTTATGAGGTGATTCTAAAGTGATCAAAAGTGGGAGTGAAGAGGAGGCATTAAGCGTGATGATTGATGATGAGTCAAGGTGTCGTTAAAGGGGAGAATCCGTTTTTCAGAGGAATAATCACAGTCTTTTACTAGCGAGGGAGGCGCGCTACATTTTGATTGGAGTGTTGGGGGGTGGGGGTGGGGGGTGGGGGGGGGGGGGGGGGATAAAGCACTGGGATAAGTTAATCATAGATTGGGAGGGAAGCCAGGTTTAAAAAAGGGGCATTTTGTACCATGCAACATGCTACTATTATTATACACATCTGACTCTGTACTATGCAACGTGATGTTATTTCAGAGCAGAGATGAGGGACTTGTAGCCTATACTGCTTATCAAAGGCTTCAGACTCAGTGATTTAATTGGATAAATGAAATTCCACTACAAATTTAATTTGTCACATGCGCCGAATACAACAGGTGTAGACCTTACCGTGAAATGCTTACTTATGAGCCCTTAACCAACAATGCAGTTCAAGAAATAGAATTATGAAAATATTTACGAAATAAACTAAAGTAAAAAAGAAAGAAAAAAGTAACAATAAAATAACAATAACGAGGCTATATAGAGGGGATACCGGTACCGAGTCAATGTGTGTGGGTACAGGTTAGTCGAGGTAATTTGTACATTTAGGTAGGGGTAAAGTGACTATGCATAGATAATACATCTCACTGGCAACTGTATCCCATCATATGGCCTATAACGACACACAGCTACTGCCTGACAGAAAATAGGTTAATGTAGAGAAAAACTCATACGGATAATACAACGGCGATTCAGCCCTCTTCTACTACTGTTTGGATAAGGTACTAGTCTGCTGTAAATTGAGAGACTACAGAAATGTTCAATGTATACAACAGAAACATTATGTTAGATATGCCAGGTCTCAATTGGTCTTTGCAGGATGCCTTTCTACACAGCTAGGAGTCTACTTGAATCACTGATAGAGATTGAAACCGTGAGTTTGCCTACAGTTTATGGTGGAGTGGCCTTAATGTGCACAGACAAAAGATGCCCCTTTCAAACAAGTTAGGTTGCGTCACAATAAGGAGCTATACAGTACAAGGGCCCTGTCCCAATAGTTCTAAAATGCATCTTTCCTTGAATCCTTCTGTGAGGTCATCCCAGATCTGAGGGTTGGAGTGATGGACGCAAACAGAGTGGACAGAGAAACCTTGTTTTCATTTCTCATACCATCAAGCACAGATCAGTGACAACCTCAAGGACAGAACATCACAAAAAGGCTCCACAACGAAGTGATGACTGAGGAGGGCATTGTTTTTCGGAACTTAAAGATGTGGAAGACCAAGATGACTTTCAAAAGTATTGGAACGGGGCCCAAGCTGAAAAGTGGTAGGAGATGGAAATCAGATCTGCCTGGGCAGTAGGAGGCTAGGAGCTAGGAGGCTGAGCTCTAGTCTAGCTCCAGTACTCACACAGAGGCCCTGGGCTCCGTAGGGCCGTCCGTCTGCGGCAGCACTAAAGACCAGAGAGCCTTGGCTGCCTGCGTGGTGCACGTCCCGAGAGCTGCTGTAGTGGGAGCAGCTCAGCGGGGCATAATTGGAATTATAGGACCGAGACAGGGCGTTCTGAGCAGAGGAGGGCAACACACCACATTACACATACAGGCAACACACACACATATAGCCAACACACACAGACACACACTTTAGTGGACATGTATTTCACCAAGTAGTAATGATTAATAAAAGAATGTAAATAATATTGTTAATGTTAATATTCCACATGCTTCAACAACATATGTACATTGAGTTAGTAGCAGCTTGTTTGCTTGTTACTCCAAACATACTGATGCAACATAGACATGCTTAGGGAAACAATTTATAAATAAAGCATTCAGACCCCTTGACTTTTTCCACTTTGTTACATTACAGCCTTATTCTAAAATGGATTAAATAAAAACATTTCCTTAGCAATCTACACACAACACCCCATAATGACAAAGTGAAAACAGGTTTTTACCCCCCCAAAATTGGAGCTAAACTTGGTGTCACGCGATGATATGGTGTGTGATCCTCCTACTACGACTCAGGAAACCATGCAGTTTATTAGGCTACAGACAAACCTAGCTACTGATTAAACCATTCTTCTTAGATAACATCAGGGCAGCCACTTATATTACTGCGTTCTAAAGGTGCCCACAGTGACTGTGATGTTGAAGTGGCCATTGAGACTGTAGCTCCCATCAACCTGTGCTACCTATGGCCCAAAGGAGAGCCACTAAGGAACACCCTCCAGACTCCAGTCTCAAGTCAGGTGGCGTCGTGTTATGGTCACCCTGGAGCCAGAGCTGAGGTCAATAGTCTGAAGTGGCTATTTTCACATCTGCACTGATGTAAAGGAACTGGACAGGTCATGAAGATGGATGAAACAGAAACACCACTATAATGTGGTTCATGAGGTTTCTGAATGGACAGTGTGAGGTCATCTCAGCTAACACATGATCAAAGAAAAAGGACCTAATAACAACCTGGGCTGTTAACACCATAACCATGTGATCTTCTTAACACGTTCCCACTCAAACAGTTGTGACCTCTATCGTGGGATATATGCCATTAAGATTATTATCAATCATATTCAATGAAAAGTACAATCAAATATATTGCTCATTAAATATTCATCAAATACTCTACCTTTTCCATCTTCTTGGCCTCGATGTGGCGCATCACCTGGTCTCTCCAGTCCACCGGTACCCTTCCTCCTGCTCCCGGTCCTCCTGGCCCATCCAGCAGCGAGTGCTCAGACTTCACCCTGGCGTTGGGCCTCTTGCTGGGGCTGCCGTGCTGGTAGTTGAAGTCGCTGACCGACATGGTCCTCTCGGGCAGCTCGTGGGGCTGTGGCCTGGCACTGTGAGGCCTGGGGGCACTGGGCCCGTCGATGCTGTAGGTGCGGGCCGACAGAGGCCTCTGCACGGTCTGGGCTATGGCCAGTGGCCCCCGGCCCAGGGTGTGGATGTCCCTGTACGTCATGTAGTCGCCCTCGGGCACCTGCATGCGCCGGGGGTCTCCCATGGAGGCCGTGGAGGAGCTGCTGCTCTGCCTCTGCAGGGTGTTGCTCCATGGCTGACCACCGGGGGGCAGGTGTCTCTCCTTAGACCACATGTCACCGGGCAGCTTGGGCCCTGTAGGCGGGCCTTTCTGCTGGGCCTGGAGGGGGTATGGAGGGGCCTGGTTGCGGTTGGAGTAGTTGGTGTTGGCCAGAGAGTGCTGGGGCGGAGGGAGGTAGCCCTGGTCGGGGGGGACGGGGGTCCTATGGGTCCACAGGCCTTCTTTGGGCAAGGCGCTGCTGGTGTACTGGACGTTGTATTGGGGCGGCGGGCCCATGGCTATGCCTGAGGGGACTGGGTAGCGGCTGGTGCTGACAGGAGGCTTGGAGGAGCTGGAGAGCAGGTCGGAGGAAGAGGCTGAGGAGCCGGGGTAGACCTGGAAGGGCTGGTCGTTGAGCAGGGAGGCTGACTTGCTGCGGACAATGCTTTGACCCTGGGCCCCCGGTACGGCTCCGGCCATCCTGCCCACTACGCCACCCTTGTAGGAGCCCACCTCAGTGTCCAAGGAGTACAGCTTCATCTCCCCCGTCTCAATGTTGGTGATGCTCCGAGCCTTGGCCACTACAGGAGGGGGGCATCGTTTCTCTGGGGACAACTCCTCTGTGCTGCGAGACAGCGACATGTCACTGCTGGCCGTCACGCCCGCCGAAGAAGTCTGCACCACCGACGTGGCAGAGTCCACCCTCATGGGCGACACGGCCAGTCCCTCGCTGGAGCGGCCGTTAAAGTGGTCGCCCAGCTGGTTGCCGTTCTCCAAGTGGTCTGTAATGGGCGCCGTAGAGTTGTCGTTGTTATACGGCGGAGGCAAGTGGTTAAAGGTCTCCTTGGCGCTCGAGCCATTCGGACGGTCGTCCAGTTGGACCACCATGTTGTCTGGCTGCGGTGGCAGCTTTGCCACATTCATGTTGACCTGGTCCCACTTGGTGAAGCCGTCGCCCATACCGTTGTTGATGCCCTTCTCAATGAAGGCCAGCCTCTCCTCCATGGACAGGTCGTAGTCCCCCACCATCTTCTCTGGCTTGGACTCGTAGCCCTGCTGGGTCTTCAGGAGGGCCTGCAGGGACGTGTCTGAGCCGTTGCCGTTCTGGAGGAGAGGGGTGCTTTCTTTCTGCTGGTTCATGTTTTCATCCTCTTGCCTGGAACAGAAAGCACAACATAATGGTTTGTTGTTGTTGTGGAGTGTTGAGGCATTCAGAGTATAAGCATGGCAGCTGCGCAGGAACCCCGGAGTACACTCGCAATGACTAGGAAATCCCACGCTCTTATTTAGATCTAGTATGAGCACATCCAAAGTTATTTCCTGAGTTGAGCCAACATTTCAAAAGGGGAAAAAACCTTCACTGTTCTATGCTCCCAAGTGATCCTTTTATTAGGATGTTGAGAGCTTCTATTTTCAAAGAAATCACACCCCTAATAGCAAGTAAATCACACCCTCCATCCTCAAGAAACCCTGAGAGGAACTAGACGGCACCCACCTGCTCTTGGGTAGGAAGGGCATCTTGGCCTCTCTCTCGGGGGTGCACATGGAGTTATCCTGACTGCTGTCCGTGGTCAGTGACACCGAGTCCGACATGCGTGACGGGGACGAACAGTTGCTGTTGTTCTGATTGCTGTTGGCCACTGTTTCGTCCAGCAACGAGTCAGCGTCTTTACCGTCATCTGTCCAACCAAGAGAAGAGAACTCAGTCACTGTGTACACATTCATAGTTCTGACAGGGTTTTGGATGATTTCCGGGTGTACTACCAAGCTGTGTACACTGAGGACGCATGATGTAATCAACGTGTGTCAGTAGTTACATAGTTGTTACATATGGGAACATTTTATTTGAGTTTAGAACCATCTTTCTATCCGTGTACTACTTCTAGCGGTTGTTAATCCTAAAAGGAGCCATGTGTCTGCCGCGGTACCTTTTTTGTCTTTACTAAGGGCCACCACTTTGGGCTGGTTGATGGAGATCTCGATGAGAGGAGGTCTCATCTCCGCCATCTTCATCTCCTCCTCAGATGAAAGCTCCTCAGAATCCTGCGGAGAAAAAGACTTGACACAAACAACCACAAAATAAATGTGCAAGAGTCACAATGTGTATGGCCAATGAGGTGTGATGTGAAGCATAGTTCAGAGTAGCGTACCTCCAGGGTGTCCTCGTGGTTCATGGTCCTGGTATTGTCCGAGGTCCGGAGTGAGGTCTTCTGGGTGGTGTAGGATTCAGAGGTCTCCAGGGGTGCTGTGGAGTCCTGGACACAGACAGGCGCTTTGGGCTCCATCTCTACTGGCTTGCCATTGGTGCAAGGAGCCTCAATCACCTGGTCAAAACCCCAAACCAACAGAAGGTTATATAAAGCAGACTTGTTTCTATTACAGAGTCATTATTAGGTTGTTGTTGTTATGTAATTTGTTACCCATCTAAATTCTAATTAGGTGGTAAGTAAATATTGGACAGAACTGTAATAAAGCGTAACCGTGAATGAATGTACAATAGGCTCATTGGGATTCCTTGTATTTACAATAGAATATGTTTATATGCAAATACTTGTGAAACCATACACCATGTGGAGCAGTCTTAATTTTATTTTAGGTAATCTTCCAATACAATATACTGTATCCAAGTTGTTTGTTGTCTGTCTGTGTGTGTGTGTGTGTGTGTGTGTGTGTGTGTGTGTGTGTGTGTGTGTAGTTTGCACATCTGCCAGTGTTTACAGACAATAGGCTCAGACAGAGGGCAACCTTGACTCCCACGTCCTGCACTCCCACATGGATCCGCTCATTAGTTCTGGTATCCCTCCCCGACTCGTCACCCGACTCGTCCTCCTTCAGCCTGTGGGCGACCGACTGGGCCGTCTTCACCATGTTCTTCAGCTCGTCTGGGTACGGTGTCGGATAGCGCTTCAGGTTGCCCTCCTAAAGAGACACGCACACATGAGAAAGGGAGAGAGAAACAAACAAAAAAACTGTGAACCAGGAGGGTTCCTTGACTAGGGGGTGGGGAGAGGGAGCAGATGGGCTCGGCTGCCAATGGAGGTGACACCACCACTCCTCAGTCAGACTGACAGCTTGAGAGGCGGTGTGCCTCTTCCCGGCAGGCCCGCCCTACCAGTCTGCTGGAGAGACACTGCAGCCAGACAGCTATATCGTGCCAGTGGGACATGTGGGAGACTGTGTGAGACTGTGTGAGACACCACAATTGGTTGAAAATAAATGATTCAGAACCTCCTCACTATGAGCTGCAGGCAGTTTCCATTTCAGTGTGAGAGAGTAGACATTGGACAACTGGACATTCTCTAGAGACACCGTACAGGCAGTAACATGCAGACACACACATCCCTCTTTAATACAAGGGAAAAGGGAAAGGCCATTTTGTGATGGGTAACGTGGCTGTAGCTTGAAGCCTTCTGATACATAAGGTGACTCAACAGACCTAGATTTTCCATTCTAACAGGAGATTGGAAAAAAACGTGCTTTTATACCAGAAAGCCCATTTGTAACCCTTGCCATAGTGTTTCAACAGCCTTGCCAACTTAGTAATGAGGACTGTGCAATGTGCGTAAGCAATGTGAGTACAGAGCAAGGTTATTTGACCCTCATTTTCATCGCACGCCAACTGGACCTCGTTTTTCATCTACTTTCATTAGCTGACATTTGCATAATGTCACCCTCTGACACTTTGTCATCTACACTAGCTACAATCTATAACACAGCGAGGAAAGAGGTCGCTTGTCTTGGCCGTGTGTGTATACTGTGTACACAAGTGTGTGTTTGTAAGTGTGTGTGTCAGAGTGTGTGCATTTATGTATGTAAGCATGTGCGTCTCGCTGTCTGCAAGTGTGTGTGTATGTGAGGGCTGAGTACTGACCCGCGGAGGCGTCTCCCTCTCAGCCTTGTCTTCGTCACACTCGAAGGCCACCTGCGCCCGCTGCTTCCTCTGCTCCTCCCACAAAGAGGGGTTGAAGCTCTCACTGTCAGAGTTAGGGATGCCTGAGGAAGAGAGACACATACCACACGTCATCTTTCTAGCTGCGCAAACCTTTATGCAGCATTCCAATTACATTTGTTAAACATACATCTAGAGATAAAATAAAAGAATTGAATAAAATGTTATGAAACCTTACCACAGTTATGTACCAATAATTAAAATATTCTCAGTTTTTTCCCCCAACAGATGGTATGGGGCCTTAAATGTATGTTTGTGGTATCAATACCACTTGATATACAAACATGGTTGTGTGAGTTAAGTTAATAGAGTATTGAAAATACAGGTGAGAATTCTGTTTGTTTTTGACAGCTCAGCTCAGTCATGATTTCCGGACCAGTTCTCTCTAAGCCTGGGTTGTGTTTTCCACTTCAGAGCAGTACAAAAGTTGTGTTGCTAGGAAACAGGTTAAGACTTTTTAATCTCACCCCCTCCTGAATCCATTTAGTTTCAATTTTGGAGATTTGCCTCTGTTCCCGGCAAACAATGAGAGCTTGTTTCAGGCCCAAAATGTTCAAAGCAAATACATTCCAATTAAGGGGCTGGCTAGATCTGGCGGGTGCCACAAAAACAAATTGGAAAGCAAAAGCAGTGAATTGTTAAAAGATTCACTATTTTCCCTCCAAGGGCTAGCACCTGTAAACTGCAGTATCCTCTCCCAACAGGAGGTCAGAGAGAGAGGAAGAGAGAGCAGCCATGCTAACCGATGTAACAGTAAATCTAGTGCCCAAGGTAACAGATGCAGAGAAGGATCATGTTTCTACCCCCTCCTTCTCAGATAAAGGAGATAACCATCCAAGACAATCACTTCCTGGTTGCCGGAATCACATGATCAAATGTATGATTGGAGGAAGATAAAGAATGAGAAGCAGATAATGAAATATGATCATTGTGGTAGCGATTACACTGGAAGTTTGGCACTGAAACAACACAGTCAGCCTGGAATTTAGTAGGATGTGACCGATCTCGATGGTGGCCCAGTTATTTTAATAATCACTGATCTGCCATATATAGACTAATGAAATAGGAGGGTAAACATGACATTTGTGTATCTAAACACATACTATATAGATCAGTGATTACCACAAGGAGAGATATATTGTAAAGATGTTTGAACAGGACCTAGCCCATAGATAGTAGGCCTTTGTATTAGTTTAAGACTCCAGATTGTCTAGTACTCACAGTCCTCTGTCCTGGTCTGCTGGGGGAACATGTAGTTGGTGAGAACCGTCTTGTGGGTCTCTGGATCCTCCTCCTTCTGCAGAGGGATGAGGGGCTTCGACTGTGGGGGAGGGGAGAGAGAACATAAGTGGTATAATAATACATATATCCCTATGGCTTCAGAAAACTCTCATGAAAATGTCTCTACAAATAATCGTTTATCAAATAAGCAAGGGAGAGAACAGTCATAGGAATCTTTCATCAATAGGTCTACATATTCACTGGTGGAAATCATCCATTTCATTTGGTTTCCAGGTACACTAAGGGCTTTGGACAGTAGCATTAGGAGATGATCAGAGCTCCATTTCCCTGGAGGAGGGCTAGTGTGGAAGGAGGAAATCCCTTCAGGCCTTCCTCCGCCTGGCTGACCTCAATCAGAGACATCCGGGTTGATTATTAAACTCTGTAGTGTGTGTGTTTCTGTCTGTGTTGGGCACTCAAACCACAGTAAATAACAATCAATAAGGAGCCCAGCTGGCAGGAGCTAGCCCCCGTTCACATCATTACCACGCACTCCTAATTAAAACCCACTGGGGAAGAACTGGGCCTGTAATCACAAAGTGTGCCGATCTAGGATCAGGTCCCTCCTGTTTTACTGATTATGATCTGAAAGGCACAACTGATCCTAGATCAGCACCCCTACTACTCCAACGCTTTGTGAATATGGGCCCAGGGCTGCAATTACAACATCAACTCTTCTTAAGGGTTGTTCTGAAAAATTGGACTGCTGGACTAACGTGTCCATCCACCTATATTCAATCAAAACATGTCTCTTTGATTTAAGGAGAGCCTCTCTCTCTCTCTCTCTCTCCGGTCTCTGGTCAAATCCTCTCAGCACAGCGAGTGGTCAGTGGCTGTTAGTTTGGGGCTTTGGAGAAAGGCCCCCTGTGCCATATGGTGTGTGGAATTAGATACCATGGAAGTGTTTTATTGGGTTTAAGCTGTGTTTTGATGGGTTGTACTCTGTCTAATGGGATTAGTCTGTGGCTGGCTGTCGGGAGCTGCGGGTTGCACAACTACACTTGGCCGCTCTCGAACCCCCGAAAAACACCCCAATGCCCCTGCTTTCCACAATGACCACCATTGTGTGTGTGAGGTCAGTAAGGATAACAGTGGGCGAAGCGATCAATGTCTCTCTGTCAGCACTGGCTGATTGTTAGGTATAAAATCATCACAAGAGACTGAATATACCGTAGCATGGTACCTATCTGGAGTTACTGTAGGGGTGCCAAATGTTTCATTACACCGTTTGAGGAGTGGAGAGACAAGAAAGTGCACTGCCGTCCACACGTTTGAGAGCAGCTCAGTGGCCACTCGTGTGTGTGTGTGTGTGTGTGTGTGTGTCAGATACTCAATTACAGCTCTCCCTCCCACTCATACCATTCTGATGACACTCGAGGGAGGCTATTGAAATAAGAGGGTCATAAAACAACAAGCACCTTGACGCTCCATACAAACAATGAGTACGTTTACATGCAGACTAATAATTCGATATTAAACTGATTATGGCAGTAGGCAGATTATGCTATAGTCATGTAAACACTTTACTCTGCTTATCTTAATCGGCGTTAAGGTCAAAATCGAAGTAAGCATTCGCCGATTAAAACATCTGGTTTTCTGACCATTCTTTCTAATGATTAGGACATGTAAACACGTTAATCGGCGTTCCAGCTGTGTATTTGATCTGTGCATGTGCTAGCACCAGCTGAGCCTCCCTCTTTAGCGCGAGTGAAGTGTGTTTGGAAAAACTGAATGTCCGTGTCTTAGAAGTTGTTTTCACATACAAACTTTATATGTTCGAACTCAGAATCAAATATCCTTCCCAATAATAACATGTTCACTGTGGTAGAACGTTTGTTTTGCTTGGTGATTTTCTGCATTTTCAGAGTGCCATCAGGTAGCCTGGTTTCAGATGTGTCCATGTAAACAGAATTATTAGGGAAATTGTTCTTCTTGCAAAGCATGTAAACGTTTTAATCAAACTATTATATTAATCTGACTAGCCACAGTAAATCACATTATTGTGTGCATGTAACCACTCTCACTGAAGAGATTTCCCTACCAGTAAAGAAATAAGCCTGTATGAAAAACAGAATGAAGCACTGAAAGCCCCATTGAGGACGTGAAAGCCAAGAGGCTGTGTACACACCTGGTTATCAGACAGCCACATAGCAGTCATCTGGGTAAGCTTGGTGAAGCTGTAGGGAAGGTTCCTCAACCTGGACAGAGAAACACAGAGAAAGTGTTATAGTAAAAGTCATGAAGCACATTAACGACCTGAGAAAGATATGGGACAGATCTCAACTGACAAATAAATGTAATGCGTAGCAAGTACGCAAGTTTACATTTGAGTAATATGTGTAGACAACTGTACTTTTACCAAAAGTCTAGTAAGTGTGAAGAGGCTCAGTCTAGAGCCCTGTTAGTTTTGTTTAGGAACTCAGTCTGGCTTTCAACTTACTGAGCCCCGTTTGTTTAGTTTCAAACCTAAAGATAGAGTTTGTAGATTGTTTGGGATTTGAACAAGGGTATAGAGGCACAACTAGTTGTCACGATACCAGGATTTTGACTTGAATAGAGTGTAATTTGATACATGACCATGTTTCTGTCTCCATAATGACTTTAACCACACTTTATTTGAGAGATACTGCTGTCCGATATTAAGAATGGCCCAAATCTTTGATTACCATGTCTAACATCTATAGGATAACTTTCTAAAGCGCACAGAGAATCAGATAAGCCTACAGTACATTTTGAACAGGTAGGAAACAGGTGTTGTGTCTCCAAGGCCAAAGTGGAGAGTGAAAAACGAGTGGTCCCAGGGTAATAAACAGGTCTCTTCCTCTCTATAAAAACTGGAGGATGGGAACTAAATTAGAGCAGGCTGCAGGGTTACTGCAGAGTCATGGTAAAATCTATTTAGTGCTGCTGGTAGCGAGTGGAGAGACCCCGGCCAGTGTGTCTCTGTCTAGGGCCCTGCCTGGAAAAACACCTGGAAATATCCTCCATCAGGAAGGAATTGGCATTTTGTGAGTGTCTGAAATCAATCCACTTAATCTTCCTGGTCCAAATGTAGGCTTTAATTCCTGTATCATTATGCACCAATGATTAACTTTCAGGGTCTCAGGGAGTGTGTGTGTAAGTGTGTGCATGTGTGTACGTGTGCAAGGTGGGGGAATGCATTCTGATTCTGACATTATTTTCCTCTATTGTTGACACAATATTGCCCGTCTGTGTGCGAGTGTGTTTTTAGTGCCTTATATAATCCACTTTGGTGGCGGACGCAGCAGAGGGATCCAAGCGCTGGTTCCAATAAGCTGGATGGACATGTTTTACAAGGCACCATGTGGCAATGGTAGCGTGGCTTTTCACAACAAAGGGAGCAGCTGGGAAACTGCTGCCATTTTAACTACTGTGTTAAACTAGTCTGTTGACTGCTCGAGCGCTCCAATGAAACGCTCTGAGAACACCAGAAATAATTAATCATATTGACTTGACTGATGTTTATGGCAATAAGCAAGAAATAGAGTTACCATAATGCATCGTCGATTAAAGATTGGATGAGCAGTGTTTCCCCTAGGAATTGTTTTCGGCAGCAGTGGCGCAGTTTTAAAGCAAATTTCCTGCAATTCTAAAAATGTTGCCATGGCTTATGCAGTGATCTTGTGCTATCTATCTGAGTGAATGTTTTATTCTTCCTTACGGTCTAGTTTTTATTTTGGTCGTGGTTAGTTCTAAATGATAAAAATACACTGCTCAAAAAAATTAAGGGAACACTTAAACAACACAATGTAACTCCAAGTCAATCACACTTCTGTGAAATCAAACTGTCCACTTAGGAAGCAACACTGATTGACAATACATTTCACATGCTGTTGTGCAAATGGAATAGACAACAGGTGGAAATTATAGGCAATTAGCAAGACACCCCCAATAAAGGACTGGTTTTCAGGTGGTGACCACAGACCACTTCTCAGTTCCTATGCTTCCTGGCTGATGTTTTCGTCACTTTTGAATGCTGGCAGTGCTTTCACTCTAGTGGTAGCATGAGACGGAGTCTATAACCCACACAAGTGGCTCAGGTAGTGCAGCTCATCCAGGATGGCACATCAATGCGAGCTGTGGCAAGAAGGTTTGCTGTGTCTGTCAGCGTAGTGTCCAGAGCATGGAGGTGCTACCAGGAGACAGGCCAGTACATCAGGAGACGTGGAGGAGGCCGTAGGAGGGCAACAACCCAGCAGCAGGACTGCTACCTCCGCCTTTGTGCAAGGAGGAGCAGGAGGAGCACTGCCAGAGCCCTGCAAAATGACCTCCAGCAGGCCACAAATGTGCATGTGTCTGCTAAAACGGTCAGAAACAGACTCCATGAGCGTGGTATGAGGGCCCGATGTCCACAGGTGGGGGTTGTGCTTACAGCCCAACACCGTGCAGGACGTTTGGCATTTGCCAGAGAACACCAAGATTGGCAAATTCGCCACTGGCGCCCTGTGCTCTTTTTTTTTATTTATTTTTTTTCACAGATGAAAGCAGGTTCACACTGAGCACATGTGACAGACGTGACAGAGTCTGGAGACGCCGTGGAGAACGTTCTGCTGCCTGCAACATCCTCCAGCATGACCGGTTTGGCGTGGGTCAGTCATGGTGTGGGGTGGCATTTCTTTGGGGGGCCGCACAGCCCTCCATGTGCTCGCCAGAGGTAGCCTGACTGCCATTAGGTACCGAGATGAGATCCTCAGACCCCTTGTGAGACCATATGCTGGTGCGGTTGGCCCTGGGTTCCTCCTAATGCAAGACAATGCTAGACCTCATGTGGCTGGAGTGTGTCAGCAGTTCCTGCAAGAGGAAGGCATTGATGCTATGGACTGGCCCGCCCGTTCCCCAGACCTGAATCCAATTGAGCACATCTGGGACATCATGTCTCGCTCCATCCACCAACGCCACGTTGCACCACAGACTGTCCAGGAGTTGGCGGATGCTTTAGTCCAGGTCTGGGAGGAGATCCCTCAGGAGACCATCCGCCACCTCATCAGGAGCATGCCCAGGCGTTGTAGGGAGGTCATACAGGCACGTGGAGGCCACACACACTACTGAGCCTCATTTTGACTTGTTTTAAGGACATTACATCAAAGTTGGATCAGCCTGTAGTGTGGTTTTCCACTTTAATTTTGAGGGTGACTCCAAATCCAGACCTCCATGGGTTGATACATCTGATTTCCATTGATAATTTTTGTGTAATTTTGTTGTCAGCACATTCAACTATGTAAAGAAAAAAGTATTTAATAAGATTATTTCATTCATTCAGATCTAGGATGTGTTATTTTAGTGTTCCCTTTATTTTTTTGAGCAGTGTATATTACTCCATTATCTTTTATACATACTTTATATCAGTGTGGCGGTAACAATTTAGCAGCGACGTCCAGGGCATAAAATGTACTTTTTGGTCCACCAGCCCAAATTATTATTTTTTTGCAAATATTACAGATGAGCATGCTTTTTTATGTTTCTAAAACAATGAAGAAGTAATGTGGTATATTGTTTAATTTCATTTTTTGTGAAGTGAGTCTTTTAACCAAAATATGAAAGATGAGACAAAAAATGTCACCTGCCCCTTTAAGGGTGGGAGGTTACCGTGGTAACATGACTAACGTTTGTGCCTGTCAGACTGACATGCTGACTAGACCGGGCACGCGTGTGTTGATTTTGTCCATCCACACAAGACGCAATCAGGACACGCAGGTTGAAATGCTCGCACTGTGGAGCCCTGACCACACGCCAACGTGGCTGGTGAAATAGACATCTTACCCGCCAATGCCAAAATCTACCTGCATTTGGCTGGTGGCGGGTATTCATTTTAGGCCCTGGGGGCATCCCGCCACTGCTAAATTAATATAGGGGAAACACTATGTGATGTTGTCAAGCTTTGGCTTTGCCAGTGTACCACATATACAGTAGATGTTCAACCACTTGTTTTATTCATAAACATCTACATTTTTGCTATAGTAAATAGTGTGTGCACAAATGTGTGAAGCCTCTTGCAGAGAGAGAGAGAGAATAGCCTCTCCTGCCGTGTATGTGACTCTTCATTCAACTCTGACAAATCTGTTACCTTACGCTGATAGTATTACAGATTAACTTGCAACCTACAGTATATGCCAATGTAGCCATATTTTCAACAATGTCTCTACACATTTGTTACCCTGTGTTATGTGATTCATGTTCCCCTGTATTAACTGGGATAAGGGGTGTAGCAGGGTGGAGATGGGGGTGAGACGGGGCAAAACAGGAGTAAAGGGGGGTGAGACGGGGCAAAACAGGAGTTCAGGGGGGTGAGACGGGGGCAAAAAACATTACAGGGGGGTGAGACGGGGCAAAACAGGAGTACATGGGGGTAAGACGGATGAGTTGCGCTAAACTAACCATAAGACTGTGTGATGAAGACAGCCAAACTTTGTAAATAAAAGAGGCACCATCAAATCTGGTCTCCTGCCTGTCTGGCTGCTCTTCAGATTGCATCAATAATCTGACTGGACCACAGACTGTACTGCAACGGAGCTGAAACTAGGACGAGAGAAAAGCGGAGACTCACTTGTTGTCGCTGAGATTGATGACCTTGAGCTTGGTCATGTCTCCCATCTCCTCAGGTAGAGACTCCAGCTTGTTGGAGTGCAGGAACAGCACGGTGGCATTCTTCCAGCTGCCCATCTGGGTGATGTGGGGAGGAGAGAGAGAGAGAGCAGGGGACATCAGCACACAGCTGGGGCACGCATTCATGTTCTATAAATAAGCACACATTAGCACAGTGTGCACACAATAACACCAACACCCACCGACACACACAGTGTTTGACCCCCATGCTCACCTCTGGGGGCAGCTGTGTGAGGAAGTTGTGGTCAGCGGCGAAGGTGCGTATGCTGACACACTGTCCGATGGAGGAGGGCAGAGCCTCGATCTCGTTAAAACTACAGTCCAGCTCATCCAGGGCTGCCAGCCTACAGAGAAAGAAGAGGAGGAAGAAACAGGGGGAAAGGAGGAGGGCTTTTCATTTAGGCCAACTAAACAGAGTTTATGTGTCATTGATTCCAGAGGCATTTTTTCGCAAGGGCGAGAGAGTTTTATACCACAGTGGGGAAAGAGGGAAGTCCTAAAAAGGTATTTTTCCTGCTCGAACTAGCCAACATTCCTTGGAATCTTCTGACTAACTGTCAGGTGCCATAACTATCTAGGACTGCACTATACATATGACCCTCTATGAAGAAAAAAAAAGGAGAGAAAAAAAGAGTGAAAGATTATTCTGTGACTTGAAGACTTGCTGGAGAATAGAGGTTACTCTATATCCAAGACTCTTCCAAATCTGGTTCTCATTATTCTGTTTGGAGTTTGGCTCAGGAAAAAGCAAGCTAGCATTCTCTGAATATATCTGGGGTTGTTATTCCAGCATTCATTAAAAAATACATACTGTGCATAAATGACCTGAATTTAAGATAGAGTTGAGCCAGAGTTTTCCCTCCTGGAATCCAATGGGAGCTCTGGTGTTAAAATAAGGACAGGCACAATGATACATGATATCCTCTTAGATGGAGCAACAACAAACAAGATCAGGGCCATATTGGTATCTCAGAGAAGGAGTGCTGATCTAGGATCAGTTTAGCCTTTTAGATCATAATGAATATGACTATATGGACAGGGGGATCTGATCCTAGATCGGCACGCCTACTCTGAGACGCTTTGTGAATTCGGGCTCAGGCCTATATTCACGTTTTAAAAAATCTAATATTAATTGAAATGGCTGGCCAAGGTCAGTTAGAATAGGTTTTATCAACTGCAGACAGGGCTCTAAAGTGCGACCATTTTGGTCGCATATGCTACTAAATATTTTTCTGTGCGAACTTACATTTTATTTTGGGAGCAACGTGCTCCTAGAAAGATAATCACCCAGATAATAATTGTTGTAATGATTAGGCTTCGTACCGTTGTTTTTACGTGCCCTAAAGATAAAAGTGAGCGCAGATTTGTTACCGTCATGGTTGCACCATTACTACAGCGAAAACAGATTGTTTCTTGCACAAAACAGATAAAAAGATACACTATATATACACACAAAAGTATGTGGACACCACTTCAAATTAGTGGATTCTGCTATTTCAGCCACACCTGTTGCTGACAGGTGTATAAAATTGAGCACACAGCCATGCAATCTCCATAGACAAACATTGGCAGTAGAATGGCCTTACTGAAGAGCTCAGTGACTTTCAACGTGGCACCGTCATAGGACTTTTTGCTTTCCAATAAATCAGTTTGTCAAATTTCTGCCCTTCTAGAGCTGCCCCGGTCAACTGTAAGTGCTGTTATTGTGAAGTGGAAACGTTTAGAAGCAACTGTCCTCATTGTAACACTCACTACCGAGTTGTCTCTGGAAGCAACGTCAGCACAAGAAAAGTTTGTTGGGAGCTTCATGAAATAGGTTTCCATGGCCGAGCAGCCACACACAAGCCTAAGATCACCATGCGCAATGCCAAGCGTCGGCTGGAGTGACGTAAAGCTCGTCGCCATTGGACTATGGAGCAGTGTAAACGCGTTCTCTGGAGTGATGAATCACGCTTCTCCATCTGGCAGTCTGACGGACGAATCTGGGTTTGGCGGATGCCAGGAGAACGCTACCTGCCCGAATACATAGTGCCAACTGTAAAGTTTGGTGGAGGAGTAATAATGGTCTGGGACTGTTTTTCATGGTTCAGGCTCCTTAGTTCCAGTGAAGGGAAATCTTAACGCTACAGCATATAATGACACTCTAGACAATTCTGTGCTTCCAATTTTGTGGCAACAGTTTGGGGAAGGCCCTTTCCTGTTTCAGCATGACAATGCCCCCGTGCACAAAGCCAGGTCCATACAGAAATGGTTTGTCAAGATCGGTGTGGAAGAACTTGAATGGCCTGCACAGAGCCCTGACCTCAACCCCATTGAACACCTTTTGGGATGAATTGGAATGCCGACTGCGAGCCAGGCCTAATCGCCCAACATCAGCGCCCGACCTCACTAATGCTCTTGGGGCTGAATGGAAGCAAGTCCCCGCAGCAATGTTCAAACATCTAGTGGAAAGCCTTCCCAGAAGAGTGGAGGCTGGTATAGCAGCAAAGGGGGGACCAACTCCATATTAATGTTCATAATTTTGGAATGAGATGTTCAAGGAGAAGGTGTACCGCGGGTAGACTGTTACCGATCTCGGCTCTATAGCAACTGAGTAAAGAGAGGAATCTGATTCCGCTTCTCAGAAGTCAAGACTAGGGACAAACAAGAGCGTAGGAAACCGACGATGATACAGATCAAAATGTAAAGCAAATGTAATGAAATGTAAGATTAAATACATTGAATTAGTATGCTTTACAATCCTGGTCTGGGATTAAACCACGGTTCTCCTTGCAATCACATTCATAATCCCGCCCAGAAGCTTTTCCTAATCTGGGACTAGGAAATATAAGATAAAATACGGGTAATTGGCAATGTTGGGAAACAAAAATAACTCAAATGGACCAGAATAAAAAAATAAAAAAATTAGAACTCTAAAACATAGATAAACCATAAACCAAGTTGCCATTTTAAAACAGTTAATCTTGAAATACTAGTTGGCTACCACACAGAATATGTTGGTGGATTAAAATCAATTTGTCTCTCCATATGAATGATAACGTCTATAGTGAGAGGTCAGAGGTTAAGTGTTAACCCCCGCCTGTATTGATTGTGATACCAGGGGCGTATTCATTACGCCAATTCTGTTGCAAAACGTTTCTTAAACAGAAGCAAACGGAATGGGGAGTGACCTACCCGATTTTGTCCAATAAAAACTTGTTTTAGTTGCAAAACTGTTTGGCTAATGATTACACACCTGGCAGCAGCAGTCGTCAACCACCAACAGCTGGCCTCCTCACCTGTCATAAATCGATGAGTGTTGGCTAAGCAGAATTAAACAGGGGCTTTAATCTGTCAATACGGTATTCGGAGGTTCCTCAGGTCAGGATTACCATTGTCCCCATCCACAATGGAGGAGCCAGGCTTAGATCACTCACCTATATAAAATCGGGACTAACGCCTCAATCACGAACATCAATCGTCTCATATCTGGCACGTGTGTAGAAACAGGGCGATGGGACAGGGGACTTAGGTCAATTAATCAAACCTAGCCCTACATTGGTGAACTGTACTGCAGCGTACTGTGATATGTTTGAATGAGGATCAATGCAAACCTATCAGGGTGGATTTAGTTGTTTTAGACCTATGGCTTTAATAGTACTCACCCTCCGACGGAGTCTGGCAGATACATGAGCTGGTTCTCATCCACTTTCAGGGCGGTTAGTTTCTTCAGGGAGCCTGAGAGGGAAGGAACAGAGAGAAAGAGGGGAGTGGGAAAGAGAGAGAGAAGACAGCGAGAGGGGTGTTCGAGAGAGAGACGGAAGGAAGGAGTGTGAGAGAATAAGAGAGAGGTAGGAAGACAGAGAGAGAAAGATAAATAGTACATTAGGCTACAGCACACAGATTTTGATTCTGATTCTCAGCTGCATCACCAAAAGAGTAGTATCCATTAAAGTTATGCAACAGATTAATTCATACCACCATCAATACTGTCGATTGGGGCCTAATAAATTGCAGACTGAATCCAGCTGTATGCTTCGCTTTATCTTATTTGATGGGAAAGCAGAGTATGACCTGTATCTCTTTTTTTCAGAGTGACACCTCCAACATATCATACCAAAAGGCAGTGCTTACACTGCAGTAATTTAGCTGTGCCATGACAAAATCATTGCGTCACGCAAATAAAATATGGAACATGAAAAAAGAGTTATGCTGCAGTGCACTTTGAAGATGCTGGAACAGTCCACATTCACTTTTCCTCTGAAAACAAAACGAGTAATAAATAGAAAAGTCTGACAACACCATAGTAGAATATCCAATTACCTAGTCGGCTTGTTGTGTGTTCTATGCGAGAGTAATATTCTATTCGAAGTGCATTCAAGTTGCGGGTGCCATAGGGAGGGAATTACCAGAATCACAGGGGTACTCAACTCTTACCCTACGAGGTCCGGAGCCTACTGGTTTCTGTTCTACCTGATAATTAATTGCACACACCTGGTGTTCCAGGTCTAAATCAGTCCCTGATTAGAGGGGAACAATGAAAAAATGCAGTGGAACTGGCTTCGAGGTCCAGAGTTGAGTATCAGGGGAATGGGTGGTCTTCTGTAGCTCAATTGGTAGAGCATGGCGCTTGTAACGCCAGGGTAGTGGGTTCGATCCCCGGGACCAGCCATACGTAAAAAATGTATGCACACATGACTGTAAGTCGCTTTGGATAAAAGCGTCTGCTAAATGGCATATTATTATTATTATTATATTATTAATATAGGCTGCAAAAATATGATACATTTATTTAGTAGACTAATCAAATTTACCAGCCACACCGGTTTACACTTTATATGGCCTGCGTATGGTCTAATGAACGAAAGCCTGAATGAATGTAATAATGAACTGATAATGAACTGAATTATCAAAAACAAACAGGCCTAACTGCTTGCACTCTACCACGTTGTTGTCCTTCCAAACTGGGGATTTCACTCGTGCAGCACTTGATTCCACGATGGTGTTGTAGCCTATTCCCTTATCATAACCTTTCTTTTTATTTCTCCGGTTAGGCCCACATTAGCCATTTTCGTGTGAGCTAGGCTATCCAGGGAAAGTAAAACTTGGCAACAAGTCATATTCTCACATGGGAAGAGGGAACATAAGCTCTACGTGTGGACAAATTATAACGTTTTAGCACCACACAAATAAGGGACAGTTCACGGCTCCACACACTCTCAATACGTTGGTGGCTGGTATAGCTCAGTTGGTAGAGCATGGCTCTTGCAACGCCAGGGTTGTGGGTTCGATTCCCACGGGGGACCAGTATGAAAAAATGTATGCACTCACTAACTGTAAGTCGCTCTGGATAAGAGCGTCTGCTAAATGTGTAAAATGGTAGCCTTATGTCTGCCTCGCCACTCACAGAATGGAATTCAACAACACAATGTAACACAACAAGCTCCTGGGTTTTTTTTTTAAGTGGAGGAGAGATTGACTTCATCAATACTTGTTTTTGTAAGAAGTGTTGACAGGCTGAATGCACCGAGGTGTCTGTTTATTCTCCTAGTACACAGCTCAGACACCCATGCATACCCCACATGACATTCCACCAAAGGTCTCTTCACAATCCCTTAGTCAAAAACAGACAATGGGAGGTGCACAGTACTACATAGAGCCATGGTTACATGGAATCTATTCCACATCAGAGAACTGATGCAAGCAGTAGAATCAGATTTAGAAAACAGATAAAAATACACCTTATGGAACAGCGGGGACTGTTAAAAGAGACACACACAGGCACAGACACACATACACATGATAAGACCTGCACTCTACACACACATACAGTGGGGGAAAAAAGTATTTAGTCAGCCACCAATTGTGCATGTCCTCCCACTTAAAAAGATGAGAGAGGCCTGTAATTTTCATCATAGGTACACGTCAACTATGACAGACAAAATGAGAAAAAAATTCCAGAAAATCACATTGTAGGATTTTTAATGAATTTATTTGCAAATTATGGTGGAAATAAGTATTTGGTCACCTACAAACAAGCAAGATTTCTGGCTCTCACAGACCTGTAACTTCTTCTTTAAGAGGCTCCTCTGTCCTCCACTCGTTACCTGTATTAATGGCACCTGTTTGAACTTGTTATCAGTATAAAAGACACCTGTCCACAACCTCAAACAGTCACACTCCAAACTCCACTATGGCCAAGACCAAAGAGCTGTCAAAGGACACCAGAAACAAAATTGTAGACCTGCACCAGGCTGGGAAGACTGAATCGGCAATAGGTAAGCAGCTTGGTTTGAAGAAATCAACTGTGGGAGCAATTATTAGGAAATGGAAGACATACAAGACCACTGATAATCTCCCTCGATCTGGGGCTCCATGCAAGATCTCACCCCGTGGGGTCAAAATGATCACAAGAACGGTGAGCAAAAATCCCAGAACCACACGGGGGGACCTAGTGAATGACCTGCAGAGAGCTGGGACCAAAGTAACAAAGCCTACCATCAGTAACACACTACGCCGCCAGGGACTCAAATCCTGCAGTGCCAGACATGTCCCCCTGCTTAAGCCAGTACATGTCCAGGCCCGTCTGAAGTTTGCTAGAGTGCATTTGGATGATATGGTCAGATGATATGGTCAGATGAAACCAAAATAGAACTTTTTGGTAAAAACTCAACTCGTCGTGTTTGGAGGACAAAGAATGCTGAGTTGCATCCAAAGAACACCATACCTACTGTGAAGCATGGGGGTGGAAACATCATGCTTTGGGGCTGTTTTTCTGCAAAGGGACCAGGACGACTGATCCGTGTAAAGGAAAGAATGAATGGGGCCATGTATCGTGAGATTTTGAGTGAAAACCTCCTGCATTGAAGATGAAACGTGGCTGGGTCTTTCAGCATGACAATGATCCCAAATACACCGCCCGGGCAACGAAGGAGTGGCTTCGTAAGAAGCATTTCAAGGTCCTGGAGTGGCCTAGCCAGTCTCCAGATCTCAACCCCATAGACAATCTTTGGAGGGAGTTGAAAGTCCGTGTTGCCCAGCGACAGCCCCAAAACATCACTGCTCTAGAGGAGATCTGCATGGAGGAATGGGCCAAAATACCAGCAACAGTGTGTGAAAACCTTGTGAAGACTTACAGAAAACGTTTGACCTGTGTCATTGCCAACAAAGGGTATATAACAAAGTATTGAGAAACTTTTGTTATTGACCAAATACTTATTTTCCACCATAATTTGCAAATAAATTCATTAAAAATCCTACAATGTGATTTTCTGGATTTTTTTCTTCTCAATTTGTCTGTCATAGTTGACGTGTACCTATGATTAAATTACAGGCCTCTCATCTTTTTAAGTGGGAGAACTTGCACAATTGGTGGCTGACTAAATACTTTTTTCCCCCACTGTACACATGGGTGTTGTATTATATATGGGTGTATTAAATATGTGATAATTGAGTAGTGGCCTGAGGGAACACACTAAATGTATTGGGTAAAGTGTTATGAAATGTCATGTAATATATTAAACTGTATATAACTGCCTTAATGTTGCTGAACCCCAGGAAGGCAGCAGCTAATGGGGATCCTTAATAAATACAAATACATATTAGCCCAATAGGGTAAATGCAGATAAGCAACTCCATGCTTCATCCTATTTATTTATAGCCACAATGCTGCATCAGTTGGGCTACAGGTGATAATGCATATTGCTAATAGCATACCTGATCATATGGACCATGCATAGGCTATATGCATGGTCCAATATGTAAGGGATAATCAACGAGGAGCTATGCGTTCTCTGGAAAATGATGAACGACATGTAAGGTGTGTTCCACGATGTGCTAGCGGAGTGGAACTAGCCTTCCTCGGCGTTGCATTATTTTCCAGAGAATGCATAGAGCACGGAGTTGATTATCCCTTTTATGTAATGGCTATAATTTAACACATCTACTGCTAGAAATGTGCTCATTAGCCACTGAAGTAGCTAGCAAGTTTACTACATAGCTACAGTAGTTGCCTTGGCAACAAAACAGACTTGCTAGTTTAGCTAATAAGCTTGCTATTATAAAAATCTAATTCAGAAATGCCAATGTTTTCAATTCGACTTCTGCTTTCAAAAGCAGCTCAAACTTGTAAGAATGAACTATCGCCATTGAATTCTACTGTGAAAATATACTGTGCGTTATAGGGAAATAATGCACGCTCTAGAATGCACTTCAAGCCAATCAGAATTCAACAGTGCCATGGTATAAGTGAAAATAATTTAAACAAATAATTTAACTAAAATGTTATTTGGCTAATTTCTGTAGGTGGAAACTACATTTTAGATGGTGTCAGCAAAATTGTATTTTAATTACTTCTGAAGTAGAATGTCCCCCCACTGCTACACATTTTTCCAGAGGAAATACTGCCAAGAGGGCTGCCGTGAACACATACAATGCATTCGGAAAGTATTCAGACCCCTTTACTTTTTCCACATTTTGTTACGTTACAGCCTTATTCTAAAAAGGATTCAAGTAATTTGTTCCTTATCAATCTACACACAATACCCCATAATGACAAAGTGAAAACAGGTTTTTATAAAGTTTTGCAAATGTAGAAATAAACAAAAGAAATATTTACATAAGTATTCAGACCCTTTGCTATGAGACTTGAAATTGAGTTCAGGTGCATCCTGTTTCCATTGATCATCCTTAAGATGTTTCTACAACTTGATTGGAGTCCACCTGTGGTAAATTCAATT